CCGACCCGACCCGAGGATAGTTGGACCCGAGCCCGACCCGACCCGAGAGATTTAAATTCGTTTATTTTATAAAGATACATCAGTTTATTGCAATATTAAGCATAAAAAATGATAGAAGCTTTATAGCAATAAAAAACACATAGATAATCATGATTGCAAGAAAAACCATCACATTTCCATTCAAATACATACATTTCAAACAGTTAAGATCGATAATGATCATAACAATAAGTATCGTACAAATATCAATAATACATCTTCAATTTATACAAAACAACTGAAAAATTTCGTAAAAAAATAAGAGAGTCAAGTGATTCTAGTGATATTTGTTGACGTCGAACTTCAAGAATCCGACCTGTTTTACTGAATATTCTTTCAGATACAGCAGAACCTGCAGGTACTGCTAAGAGAGAACATGCCAATAATGATAACCTAAGCAGAATCAAATTTAAATTAATTTATTGAATTTTTCTTGTGCATTTAAGGAGAATGATATAGTAATCAAGAAACTCACTTTTTGTATATGATAGAGTGTTTTTGCCACCGTTGTAAAAGTGATTCTCCTTTTGGTTATGATATTTTCGCTTTAATATAATCATCTACTTTATCCATCGGCCTCTTATCATCATCGTCTGATGATGAGTCTACAAATGCATTAAAAGACTTGAGAACATCGTGTACAGTGTCTATTTTAATACGTTTTTGATGTGTTGAGGAATTGTTGTTGGTACCTGTCTCTGTTGTTTCTTCATCGACTTGTTGATCTATACCTAAGAGCTTTTAAAAGTATTCGTATATTTTTAATAACAGCATTATGTTCTGATTTCATTAGACTCTGAGAATCATTGATCAATAGAATTGAGTTTTATTATTCTATGAGTTTAAGACGAACGAAAATAGAGGGCAGAAGCATACATACGCAAAAATATCTGACCCGATAAAAACCCGACATTTTTTAATTTCAAACCCACACCCGACCCGACCCGACGGCTGACAGACCCGTACCCGACCCGACCCGATAAGATTGAATCCGAGCCCGCCCGCACCCGACAAGATTGAACCCGAACCCGCCCGCACCCGCGGGTCGGGCTCGGGTGCGGGTCGGGTCGGGTCGGGTTGCAGTACTCTAGTGTGGGTATGGGTGGGTGTGGGGTGTGGGTGGGTGTGGGTGTGGGTGAGTGTGGGTGTGGGTGGGGTGTGGGTGGGTGTGGGTGTGGGTATGGGTATGTGGGTGTGGGTGTGGGTGGGTTTGGGTGTGCGGGTGGGTGTGTGAGTGTGGGTGTGGGTGGGTGTGGGGTGGGTGTGGGTGTGTGTGGATGTGGGTGTGTGGGTGTGGGCGGGTGTGGGTGGATGTGGGTGTGCGGGTGTGAATGTAGGTATACGGGTATTAGTTTTTCCCTCATTCTACCCGCAGCCACACCCACACCCACGCTCAAGTTATCACTCTTCGGGTAATACACCAAATTCACTCAAATTCCTCAACTTTATAATATCTAATTACAGTTTAGAGGTCATTAGTCTTCGGGTAATACACCAAATTGACCCATATTCGCCAAGTTTTGGTGTATAACTATAAGTTAGGATTCGGAGTTGGATACGCTTGAGAGTGTCGTATCGTACATGAAAATGGATAGTCTTCGATTGAATACCCGGAGACTAAATTAAAAGAAACTGCGGATACTGGATGTAACGGGATTATGATATCACTCGCTATCCAAACAATGATTTGACATCAAGACGATGCACTACCTCACTGTGGTCAAATCAAACAAGACTTTTTAGACGATACATTCTCACAATGGATTGGACGTCGACATACCACCAAGTGACCGTCACAGTCCCCAGATTTAACCCCATGTGATTTTTCATTGTGGGAAATCATAAAAGATCGTGTCTATTCACGAAATTCCCGTGATGTTAATCATTTGAAGTCCTTAATTCAAGAAGAGTTTACATCACTTAATTATAATATCGAATTATGTCAAACAATATCTCATTTGGTAGCTGATCGTTGTCAAATGTGTGCGAACAATGAAGGCAAACAATTTGAACGATTACACTAAGGCATTGTTTTTTTGTTTTGAAGAATATAAACAGGTATATAGATTGCTGCATGTTACTATTCTTTTTTGACGACAGTAAAGCATTACGGTATGCCTTTGATAAGAAAAAGAAATGCATGATTATATTTGGAGTTTTTCCAGAGAAACTGGCTCTTTTGATCGTACATCGTTTTTTTTT